GGACTAATACCACCTGTTCGTGCAAGACGTTCTAATCATTGACTATTCGTTGAGAAAAACGGAACCCCACTTTATGTCTATTAGATCGTGGTCTATGAATCTTCTTGCTATGACCTCGGAGGTTATTAGTGCTGGAGGGAGCAAAAAGATAAGACATATTAACACCCAAATCATAATTAAAGATACGAAATGCCAGTATAAGGTCATCTCGAGTAAACGGTCATTAGTTTTTGCTGTCTTTCTTACTTTTCTGCGTTTCCGCGTCATCCATATTCCGTCAGCCGTAGCATCTACATCAGAACTGCTCGGGACAGTAATTGTTTTATCTGGATCACCAGTTGCTGCTGTAGCAACATGGCCACCAACATCTAATGAGGTGTCACTCATTGATTGTTTCGGGGTACAAATTTTAATTTCGGGTTGCACAGTTAGATGTCTGACTTGCGCCGTGACAGCACTTACGACACTAACGCGATCTCCGCCATCAGCACCAATATTGCCAGTGCAGCCCTCATCAACCTTCTTATTAGCCAATACCAGGAGGCTAATGGCTTCCTGGATGAGTGTTGTTTTGCTTGAGCAACAAAAACTACAAAGCCAATGAGAGTTGGGCTCCGAGCACCTTTTATATGCAGCGGGGCTTAGTCGGGTGCACATCTTGTGGAACCACTTATTACACTCATCACATTGCATCCTTTCTTCCACGGGGAGTAAGCAATATGGTCGTCCACATTTATGAGCCGATTTGACCATCTTGAAAACCAAGTACAATGGTGATACAAACAGGATATGTAAAAGAATACTAAAACCTTGACTAAATTAATCAAGTAAAAGTCGACCAAGTATGCTTCGATGCAATAAATACACAAAAGCAGAATCGAAACACTCAATACAATATCACTTTAACTGGAGTAGATTCAATTAAAGTGTAAACAGTAGTTTTGATGCGTAATTTACGACCAAAACAGTTAATTAACTCAACGAGAAACAATACCACTGTCTTTCTCTTGAATGAGTGAGTTAAAGGTGCGGACACCACTACTTCGGGTAACAGGTTTCAAGATTTGGTTACACGGGGTGAAAACCTGTTTGCTATGGATATTTTTTTCTCTTGGCTTTTCTACTCGCCCGCTATGTCCTCTGAGTTCAGATCACTTTGCTGAACTCTGTGTACACAACACCCTCTGATTTTTCATTATCTAGAGCATCTATCCATCGCTCTCTTGCCATGAAGAGATTCGTTGTGCAAGATAAACCTTTTCTGAAACTATTTTGTTCGCCGTTTAACATGTTGTTGGTTCCCACTTGAGGTATAATGGTCTTTTTGATTTTTATTTCCAGTATTTTAACCACAACACTGGTGAGGCTGACAAGTCTGTAGTTTGATGGTAGTTGTCTTGATCCTGTTTTATGTATTGGAGTGACAATTACATCCTTACAGTCCATAAGCAACCCACCTTGGCCAAGTGACATATCAAATATCATATTCAGCAATATTTTGTGCAATTAGTTTCAAGAGTTTAGGGCGTAGTTCATTCGGTCATATTAACTTATCCGTGTCCAAAGTGCTAAGAGCCTTAAGTACACCGTCTCAATCGAAGTCCACAGTCAGCAGACGATTTTATGACTTTGTATTTGGGTCTAGTTCTTCGTCTAAAAGAGGTTCCTGAGTGAAAACTCTCCCGAAATAGTTCGCCATAGCCTCTCCTTTTTTCTGATTGTCGTTTGTCATTTTAGATCCACCCCCTTCCGTAACTAGATTGGGGATCCAACGCTGCGTCCTGGTTCTGTAAGTTATGTAAGTGAATAGTCTCTTCGGCTGCTTGATTACTGATTGGGTCAACTGCTTCTCATATTTTCTCTGAGCTTCCTGGATTATAGTTATAAACTTACTTCTTACCGACCTGTAGCGTTCCGTACCTTTTGAAGGGTAGCGGTCGCCACCCTTAAATGTACTTGTCTTAGCCAATAAAACTCATCTTACACCTGTTACCCCTCGTAGAAGAGCATAGGCCGGCCACCAGAATTCTCTATTCAGCTCTGTCCTGAGCAACCCTTTCCAGTTGCTATTCACACTTTCAATGTCCGCTTCCAACTCTCAACGTAGTGCGTTCTCCGGCCTTCCTCCTTTCCGTTTCCCTCCAGGATTTCAAGTTCGCGCATGCCTTATGATGCAGTTTGTTGATTTCGGTGATGTATGTTCTATCCACTCCCAATATCCTTTCCTAATTTCCTCTTCAGCTGGAAGTTTGTTCGTTTTCTCCCACAGTAGGTTGTTGCTGATGATATCCGATCAACGGAAATTGAGTATCCTCTGTAGACAATTGTCTATAAATACTTGTACATTTTTGATGATGGTTACCACGACGCGCAATGCTGACTAGTGTTGTAGATAGTTGGAAGAAAGTTAGGGGTGGCCTAACCAAAACGTGGCATCAGTGCTTGAAGTCACTAACTTCTAGTCTGAGCCATGTTGGTAGGTGCAGACTGCTTGGTTGGAGTCTGCACGACTATCGTAACCAGTGGTCGGAGACTCTTGGTGACATGGATCAGAATCGATCACAATGGCGTAGGTGTATACACTCTTTGTCTTCCGTTCAACTGTGAGATTAAAATGGCTTTATACCTTTCTTTCTACGAACTAATTCTTTCTTCCTGTACTATACCCTTATATACAATCCTTTTATATATTACAATCATTGAAGGAACTACTGTATATTTGGTGTTCATCTTGTTGTGCTAATGAGGTGTGGCAAGTTGAACCGATGCATATATGTGCCTTGTCCTACTTTGTAGCTGACTGACTGACTGTAGTAGTTCTCCACGTTTCAGCTCCATACAGTAGAACTGCCTTGACGTTCATATTGAAGATTCTGACTTTGATATTGGTTGACAGTTGTTTTGAGTTCCATATGTTCTTCAATTGTAGGAATGCGACCCTTGCTTTGCTAATCCTCGCCTTGATGTCAGCATCTGACCCTCCTTGTTCATCAATGATGCTTCCCAGGTACATGAAACATTCCGCATCTTCTAAAGCTTCCTCGCCAAGTGTGACTGGGTTGGTGTTCTCCATGTCTCATTTGGGGGTCTTGCCTTTTCCTTTGTGTATATTGAGGCCTACTGATGCATAGGCTGCTGCTACACTAGTTGTCTTCATCTGCATTTGTTCGTGTGTATGGAATAGAAGGGATAGGTCATTTGCGAAGTCTAAGTCTTCTAAATTTTTCCGAGCTTCCCATTGTATTCCGTGCTTTCTTTCAGATATCGAGGTCTTCACGCATTTCTGCTTGTCGGCTTTGATACTCTTCTTCACTTTCTTGTTTACTTCTGTGTATTCAGCTTGTGCCTTGGGTTTTTCTGTTCTTGTTCGACTGTTGTTAATTACTGTCTTCTTGTTCGTCCGTTCTTTAATCTTGTCCAGGGTATCCGTAAAGATCCATTTCTTATGATGATGCTTCTTACGGCCTACCACATCCTGACACGTTGAAGTTATTGCTTCTTTGATCCCTTTCAAATTGTCTTCCATGGTAGTTTCTTCTTCTTTGAGGATATCTTGTAATGCTTGGAACCAGTTGTTGAGAGCTATCTTGAACTCGTTGAACTTGTTAGTACCGTGAAGTTCGTATTAATCCTTCATAATGCTGCTTCCCCAGTTATCCAGTAATTCTTTAGCTTCAGTCTCATCTCAGCAACCGCTAGGTGGTGATCTGATGCTATGTCAGCTACTCTCCTGGTTCTCACGTTTTCCACTGACTTTCTGAATTTTTAGTGATACAAATATGATCGATCTGGTTCTCTGTCATGTGATCCAGTGAGACCCATGTAGCTTTGTGTATGCGTTTGTGTGGGAATATTGTGCCGCTTATAAGCAATTTTCTGAATGCACATAGGTTTTCAAATTTCTCCCCATTTTCGTTTCTCTCTCTTAGTCCATGTCGTCCCATGATATCTTCATATCCGTTGTTGTACATTCCAACTTTGGTGTTTAGGTCTCTCATCAGGATGGTGAGGTTCTTCTTTGAACACTTCGCTATGATAGATTGCAGCTTTTTATAGAACTGATCTTTTTTGTCGTCGCTGTTATCATTGGTGGGTGCATAACACTGGATAACATCCATTGTGGTTTGAAGGATGCTTTGATGAGCCTGGATCCGTGAGATTCCGATCCTATAAGTGCATTTCGTGCTTGTTTGGACAGAATCAGAGCAACTCCCTTAATGTGTGGAGCGTTTCCCTCCTCGTGACCGGAATACAGCAGAGCCTCTTCCATATCTTTCCTTTTCTGGTCATATTGGGTGCAACGGCTTCCACGAATTCTGAGAACCACCAAGTTGTGTCTCCTAATTTCCGTAGATATTTGGATGGTTTACCCGGTCTCCCACATTGTCCGGACATTCTATGTACCTGTATTAATTGTTGTTCTGGTTGTTAGAAGGGGGATCGGTCTCGTAACTTCCGAAGAATATAGGCTTTCACCATGAGGCGTCATAATTTTTTTTCAGCTTGGAGGACAGTTTAAATGGTTTAATTTGTTTATTCTGGTTAACGTTTTTTAGCAAGGTTATTTTCTATGGTATGGGGTTGCCAAATGCACACCCAACCCTCCTCCTTTACTCGGGCTTGGGACCGGCAGTAATTCTAGAAGAGCTGCAGGCGGAGTTGTAATCTGTCGATTCTCGTAGATAATTGGTGCTTGAAATAAATCCAAAAATTTTCTACGTTCTCACTAATCATTACAGTTACTTCATTATGGGTTTTTGTGATACTCCTGGTATTGTTCATATGTACCATATACTCGTGTAGGTTATTTGAAAATGGAAAGCGTGGATATTGTTCTGTCTACATTTTTCCCAGGTCGACCTTAGAAGAAATCTAACCCCTCATCTGAAATCTACTGGACTTCATTATGAGCACTGTTTAATGTAATGTTTTTCACCAAATATCTAATTGCGTTCAAATAATCATTTACAAATTTCTGTTTTTCAAACTTCAAATCTCAGTTTTCAAACGGTCTAATACCGATTGTCCATATTTCTATGAGACGGCTTGTTGATATCGGTGCTAATCTTACTGACAAAGTCTTCATGGGCGTATACCGTGGCGTACTCCAGCATAAAAATGATTATCATAATGTTTTATGTCGAGCCAGAAAATGTGGTGTGGAAAAAATAATTATAACTGGAGGTTAGATTAGTTGGTGTTTCCGATCAACTCGAACCAGGGTCACTCACTGATAGTGCTGAGGCTATATCCCTATGTGAATCTGATAAGGACCTCTTTTGTACAGTTGGATGCCATCCTACAAGATGTTTGGAGTTTCACGAGGATCCAGATAACTACCTGAATAAACTGGAAAACCTAATTCTGACGACGAAAAAGGTAGTAGCTGTAGGTGAATGTGGTCTCGATTATGACCGGTAGTTACAAATGCTTTCTCATTTCAATTTACAGTGAAGAGTTTTGCCCAAAAGATATCCAGAAAGAATATTTTGACATTCAACTTAAGTTGGCTAGTGATGTTAAATTACCTCTGTTTTTGCATTGTCGAGCTGCACATGAAGACTTTCTAATAATGATCAAAAATGCTAAGCATAAATATTTTCAAGACAAGCCTTTCCGAGGTGTTGTACACTCATTTGATGGAACAGACGACATGGTCAAATGTTTCACTGATATGGGATTGTATATTGGTGTCAACGGTTGCAGTCTGAAGAACCAAAGTAATTTGGAAGTAAGATGTTAAAATATGTATCACAAAAAACTTCATTTGCATACTATTGCTATGTACGTACATTTTATTTCTGACGGTGATCAGTAGTTTTTACTCCGCTTACTCTACAACTACCCACCATTCTCAAACAGCCTGAATGGAAAATTAAAGTAGGCCCCCTGACTCTAAATGAAGTACAAAACGCCATAGCTAATCTGAAACGAGGAAGGGCAGTTGGTCCAGATGGATTGGCTCCAGAGGTCTTTAATCATGGTGGCCTAGTTTTAGCGATTATGTTGACTAGTATTTTAGCTAAAATCTAGGGGTTGGGCGTAATCCCATCCCATATAAGAAGGGGTCAAAATCATCCTGTGATAACCATAGATAGATTAGTTTGACTAATATAGTATCTAAAATACTAGCCTCGATAATTTTCGGACGCCTCACTAAGACTCGTGAACTGCAAACACGTGAAAATCAGGCTGGCTTCAGACCTGGTCGTGGCTTCATCGACCACATATTCACCATTCGTCAGATTCTAGAACACAGGCATACTTATCGGCGTCCGACAATGGTAGTCTTCCTTGACTTGAAAGCAGCATTTGACTCTGTAGGCCGAGAGGTTCTGTGGCAGTGTCTGTCATTGAAAGGCGTACCTCAGAAGTACATAAACCTTGTGAAGGCTCTTTGCTCGAACGCTACTAATCGAGTGAGAGCTTATCGAGAGCTGTCATCTGGCTTTGCAGCATCAATTGGTGTCCGTCAAGGCTGTTTACTTTCTCCATTTTTGTTTAACTTCATCATCGGGCATTGATCTCCTACCAGGAGGTCCACTTATCGACTTAGAATACGCAGATGACATAGTCCTGTTTGGTGAAGACGCTGATGAAATGCAGAGTCTTTTGGTGGCACTGAGCAACAATGCCAGAATGTTCGGGATGCGCTTCTCTTCACCTAAATGCAAGTTGTTGCTTCAGGACTGGTCTGCGCCAACACCTGAACTAAGGATTGGGAGTGAAGTAATCGAACGCGTTGACAACTTCACCTAACTTGAAAGTCGCCTCCAAATGCCCTGGTACGGCCGAGAGTGGAGAGAGTTCGCTCACCTCATCTAAATGCTCTCAAATGGCCACGCGTATATAGTCTCTGCCAGAGAAGTCCTACTCACTGCCTTCTCGTGGTGGGGGTGTTGTTTACGAAATTGAGAGGACGAAGAGCGAATGTTGGTGGACATGGAGTGTCCATCTAGGGGAGTTGGAAAACTCTGATTCCAAACCAATGGTGCACATGGGTTCCAGTATCCTGAGGGAATAAATGGCGTACGAACCAATCGTTGGTCACCGGCTACCGTGGTACTGCATATGTATTTGGTGCCTCCTTGTACCAATATCTATGTGTTCAAATAATAATAATAATCTTGACAGTCGGATCAACCCTAATGGGTTGGTGTCTAACGAAATCTCAGCACGGATTCGAAGAGCTCGTTTGGCTTTCGCCAACTTACGTCACCTATGGCGAAGGCGAGATATCCGTCTACCAATTAAGGGACGAGTATACTGCACGGCAGTTCGTTCTGTTCTATTTTTCGGGTGTGAAACGTGGTCATAAAGAGTAGAAGATACTCTTAGATTACTAGTATTTGATCACAGATGTCTTAGAAATATTGCCAGCATCTGATGGGGTTACCAGATAAGTAATAGTGAAGTTAGACGCAAGGTACTAGGGAATGATGGTAAATCAGTTGATGAGGTTGTGAATCTTCATCTACTGAGATGGCTAGTTCATGTGTTACGTATGCCTGAACAATTACAACGCACAATGCTGACTAGTGTTGTAGATAGTTGGAAGAAAGTTAGGGGTGGCCTAACCAAAACGTGGCATCAGTGCTTGAAGTCACTAACTTCTGGTCTGAGCCATGTTGGTAGGTGCAGACTGCTTGGTTGGAGTCTGCACGACTATCGTAACCAGTGGTCGGAGACTCTTGGTGACATGGATCAGAATCGATCACAATGGCGTAGGTGTATACACTCTTTGTCTTCCGTTCAACTGTGAGATTAAAATTGCTTTATACCTTTCTTTCTACGAACTAATTCTTTCTTCCTGTACTATACCCTTATATACAATCCTTTTATATATTACAATCATTGAAGGAACTACTGTATATTTGGTGTTCATCTTGTTGTGCTAATGAGGTGTGGCAAGTTGAACCGATGCATATATGTGCCTTGTCCTACTTTGTAGCTGACTGACTTACCAAACAGTATTTATAGGATAAGCCATGTATTACCGAACTCTGGAGCCTCCTACCCGTCCTTTTTTGATGACTTAGTTACTGTAGATGTTTATTTTTAGGATATTTACTTAATTAATATTAGATCGTTCATTTTTTACTGTCGCAAATCAGTTTATCAATGTCTCAAAATTAAACTCTATTGTTCTATAAGATTGTTTTAAGTTTTAATTTTAATCTGTTCGTAGCCGATTAAAAGCCACAAAATAAAATAAACTCAATTCTGCCAACAATCGATCGCACTAATATTTTTCACTCTTAATGGTTGATGAATATAAGGCATCCTTTACTTCATAAGCTTAATTACAGTCACGTGTTAGGCGCCGTCAGTAGTTAGTAATATCATATTTTTTAAAGGAACTGTATGATTGACATGCTTACTACAAAACCGTCTAACTTTAAAACGAACTAAGTGGTTTCAAGGTTATACTCTGCCTATGAATCTCTGACAAGACTGTTCTGAAAGGTCCCTTACTTTCCAGTAACCTAACAAACAATAAAATGCTAACTATCTTCCAGTTGGTGAAACTAACAGCTTTTACCAGTAACCTACTACTGTCTTCATAGTTACGTTTTTCAGATGAATTGGATGTGACTTCTTCAGCGATGTTTTATACTTTTATTTCCAAGTGACGTAAGCCACCAAAAAGGTACTGATAAAACCTAATGCTTAGAGAGGAATGAGTAACATTATTTATAGACGCTAGCAATAGTAATCGAGTATATTTCAATTTTTTCTCTTTGCAGGTCGTGCAAAAAATCCCACTCGATCGGCTGTTATTAGAAACAGACGCTCCTTGGTGTGATATTAGAAGAACTCATGCAGGTAATGTAGAACTGATCTAATTTTTTCCCTTCCTAGGATATAATTTTGTTAAGACACACCACACTTATCGCAAGCACAATTCATGGGATGAATCCTACATGGTCAAAGGACGCAATGAACCCGCTAACCTTGTCCAAGTTCTAGAAGTTGTTTCTGCTGTGAAAGGAGTAAGCGAGGAAGAACTAGCTGAAATAACATATCAAAACTCAATTGATTTATTTTCGTTGCCAATATAAAGCTTTGTAAAAATTAAATTTTTAGTAAGAGCCATTTTTGATGGACTTCAGCATTTTTAGGTATGCGCCAAACGTTGCTGCGCGTTTCTAGGTCGCTAAAAGTACTTACATATTTGTGTCAGCGCTGATAAAAATAAAAGGAAAAAATGAACTTTGGTCTTTGCAAAAATGTGTTAAAACAAGCTGATAGAGGCAGCTTTGAAATAAGACGGAAACATACTTCGCCTATTCAATTCTACAGACCGGTCACCTATCGTATATTAGAGATTGACATAATTTTACAATATTTATCACAAAGGTGTACAGATTTAAAGTTATAGCTTGTTTTTATACTTCTAGATTACCAACGTTTTATAAAATTAAGACAAAAGCAATGGCTTTGATGCAGTGTAACCTACCATTAAGGGTAATTGAATTTTTAAAATCGGTATCGGTAATGTTCAACACCTAATGTTTATGATCACCCTTATTTTTATTTCATAGTTATTTTTCTGTAATTTTTTACATCTAAATATATTTCACTCACAATTATTGTATTATTGCTATATGGTCGCCTTCAGTCAGTTCTTATTCTTATAGTGACCTTCATTCTATTAGAACTTCTCACCTTGTAGTTGTGACTTTAAAATGTAGTATATGTCAGTCTGAACTTCATTTATTTATTCATGAATAATATGTTTTACATATCACAAACTTCATTCATTGCATACATTCACGGTGAACTATAAAACGCATTCGTCATACTAATTATTTCAAGTATGTATAGCTTCTGAGAATGAAATCGTCAAAAAGGAAAGTACAATTTCCTCGTTGAAATATTTGCTTTCATCATTGGCATTTAGGTTGACAATTTCATCGAAAAAGGCTGACCATGAATGACGGTAAATCAATATCTCGTTATATCAGAAGATTCACCTGTCCAATTCTGATGAGTAACTGGACAGCAGTTCAGTCATTGATAAACTTGAGGCGTAACTGTAGCATGTCCTGGCGCTTATTTCGCGTTGATTGTTTGAGCATTATTGAACCTATTAAAAACTAATGGATGTATTGCTTCAAATATTTTCTTTCGATTCTTCAGGCATAAGGCTTTTAATAGAGGTGTAGTAACCTCTCATATTTCTCATTGCTACGCAAATCCATTCCTGTTTGGAGAAAGACAGGATCAGACAATCATGTGACCATTAGATGCCATTTTTATCCTACTGATAATTATATAATGGTTTCTTATACTTAATTATGACCTCTAGTTGTACATTTCTTAGATGTGTGCCTGTCCATTTACTGCTTTAAATAGATAGCTACATGACTTGAGTCACTAATTAACGTGGCTATTAATTTTCTGATCAATCTAAACATCACACAATTTAGCTGCAAATTAGGGCCTATATACCATACGATTTATCAGCATCCGCCTTTTTTACCGATAGTTTGTGTGCCTATTAACATTCATTGAATAAAAATATGACTCAACATAATTCGCGTTGTTATTTCAGCTTATTACAAAATGGGATATCTGAGAAAACAAGCACAGTTAAGTGAGATCAATAACCGGAGTCAGATGAAGGTTTGTAGAGCGATTATTTCAAAGAAAACTTCTATCTGAAGTCAGCAGAATAGTTTAGTGAGGTTGCTCTAATGTATCAGTCCTCCTCAAAATTTAGTATTTGAAAGCAGCTGCAAATAAAGTTTGATGACTGCTCATTCGCTCTAAATAAGAAACGTTATCGTTTCCCACATGTAATTAAATCATAGCAACTTCTACTAATCGCGAATCACAGCCGCTGTAGCAAGTCCCTAAGCACCAATAAGTGGAAGAAATCCCTGGTCTTCGGATCGCCTAGTTAACATTTTAGTCGATTTCATAGTTTGTTAATTAGTCGCACGCTAAAACGAAAGTACTACAACCCTCAAGTTAGTTATCTTGCAAATGTGCTCAGGTTTTATTTCAAGTCCGAAGTAGTTCTTATGCATGTAGTTTTTATGTTCATACACTTGAGGTCTACATAAGAGCTCCAAAGTAGCCGCCTACCTCCAGGTCCTCTTTCTTTGGTAAACAATAAAAGACAAATCCTCATTTTGCAGAAAACCCGAGACTAGTGTATCCAATGCTCGTGTGAACTACAGTTCAGATGATTTCCAACAATTTTTGGGTCGGAAGCTTCGAATTTCGCTGTTTCTGCATTAAAGTAACTGATTATAATGACTGTCAAACGTTTTGGAGCAGGTTTGAGATGTGAACACTAGCAAGGCTGAGGTGTAACTAATTATTTAAAATCTGCCTAGAGTTAAGTTAATATGCTCACATTTCAGCATTGTGAACCTACATTGTAACAACCAGAGCTAGAATGCCAACTATTGCGGTGTAAGTGTAAACCGTTTCAGTTTGGACAGCAGAATGACACCACCAACCCTTACAAAAGGCCGAGTACAGGGACTACTTAACTACTCATTTGTGCTGTTTTACATTACTCTGAGATGTTAAAGCACACAAACCAAATGATCACTCATATTCAAAGCTTATGATTATATTTAAGCTTCATATTTGATACTCCACCCCAACCCTGTATCAACACACTGTAACAGGTCAGTTAACTACTGGATGGTGCACAGACGCGACAATGGGTGACACCAAGTTGGTGAAGAAAAGTTCAGTATTTTAGCCAACAACGCGATTCACAGAGCGTGTCTCGTCCAATATCTCAACAGACAATTATCAAATGCAGATCTGGATATCGACCACGAGAAAAACAGGAACTAGTATTGTTTGCGAGAATATGCTATTGATAAGCTTCTGAATATTAAGGTAGCAAAGCATTTTGCCCAGAAATAAGTATATAAGTTAGAAATTAAATAACATTAAGTTATTTATCACCATAATATCAATTGACTTCAGCATTGTGTGCCAATAAGCATAGAAAATAATACTGGGTAATTGAAGAAGGTAAATCTAACTAGGATGTTTAGATAGTGTATAAGGCAACAGTACAAACAAGAAAACAATAGGAGGTATGATTGTGTATTTATAAACTGTCATCTAGGAGCGCTTGGAACAATGAATTAATGTACAACGTTATGAATTCTCACCACCTGGAGACTTTGTTTCTGGTAGAATAGATGGGAACCACGAAGGTCTAGGACCAGGGACTTTGACTTCTGCATTGCTAACAGATGCGTTAGTGCTGTTATCATCATTATAAATAAATTTCACTTCGTGATCACTTGGAAGTTGACCATTGACAAGGGAACGTAGAAAGTTAGTTTCCTCACGTACTTTACTGTAACAATTGGCTAAAGCGTTAAGTCAAAAAGATAGAGAGAGAAACAAAGTATTCTTTAACCTCTCGGTAAAGATTTTACAGTAGTAGAAAACTAACCTAATGAATATGAATAAAAGTCGATCCTGGTGTTATACATCATTTGGAGCCCTCACGGATACAGAAGGTTCGACTAGCTTTGGCCAACTCGCGTCATTTATAACATAAGCGAGATATCCGTCTACCAACCAAAGGACGAGTATACTGCGCAGAAGTTCGTTTCGTCCTACGCTATGGCTGTGAAACATGGCCGGTAAGAGTAGAGGATACTCGTAAGTTACTAATATTCGATCATAAACGTCTTCGAAGCATTGCTCGTATATCCTCGGACCACCAAGAAAGTAATGCAGTTGTTAGGAAACGGATACTAGGTAAGGATGGCGAATCAATTGGTGAAGTAGTGAAGATTAATCAGTTGAGATGGCTGGGACATGTGTTACGTAAGCCCAACCACCGACGTGTGATGTTTTATGGTGTAGGAGTAGGTTGGAAGAAAGGTAGGGACGGCCAGATCAAAACATGGCACAAATCCTTGAAGTCACTGACAAGTGGACTGAGTGAGCCATGTTGGTAGGTGTAGACTACCTGGTTTGGATCCGCAAGACGATAGCAACCGATTGTTATAACCCTTGAATGTTAAGGCTCAAAATCGTTTGCAATGGCGCAGATGCATCCACTCCTTGTGTTATCCCGAATTCTTCATATCCCCTATTTTTTTCTCTTTCCAAATATATTTCTCTGGATTATACTCCTTGAATAATATCTTTAAAACCTAATCTTTCCGATTACTGCTTATACTTTTACTACCTCTATCGCTACCGGATTTGAATCGACAATTGTATCTCTGTGCTAATGTGGTATGGCAACTCGAACTGATGTACGTATGTACGAAGTTCTACGTTGTTGACTGACTAACCTTCATATGAAGCGACGTAATGTACATTTTATGCTATATGCCCTAACTAAATCGCTTTTAGTTAACAGTATTCTTCTGAATGCTGTCCAGAAGGACAATGAAAGCTTCATGACCAAACAGTTCAGCTCAGAAAAAAACCACTGGTTTTTTCGCCATTTCAAAACCTAACTATCTTCACTAATATTTTGAAAGATATCAGGTAAAACTCATACATACTGATCATATTGTTTTCAGTTATTAGTAGGTTTCGTCCGCAGAATATTGGATCTCCTTTTACTCATGTGAGTGTATTTGGTTGAGTGTGAAAATGAAAAATTTGCTAGATTAATCCATGCTTGCTTCAAAAATAGATACACCAAATTCTAAACAATTATCTAAAAAGTTAGTGAAATATATCAATGCACTTACTCTTATTTCTTTAGAAACGATATTAAACACCGTAAGCAGTGTGTGCTTGGCAGCTGTTTAAAATCAGCGAATATTTGCTTTCTTATTAACACCCACAGATATCTGGGAAGCCACCGGCTAGTCGAATACAAGTATAATGTGAACAATGATTGGTTCATACGCCATCTGGTCCTTTAGGTTACTGAAGCTAGCCCATGTGCACCATTGATTTGGGATCCGGTTGAAGCGCTGGACATTTGCTTTTCGTCCTCTCATTTTCACAGACGACACCCAAGCCACGAGAAGGCAGTGAGTGGGACTTCCCTGGCAGAGACTACATACGCGTGGCCTGTGAGAGCATTTGGCGAGCGGACTCTCCTCACTCTCAGCCGTATCAGGGCATTTGGGAGCTACTTGAACCGATGAATATACGTACAGGTTCTACATTGTGACTGACCAAATTTTCATCGTAGTAACCATGGTAAGTAATTAAGCTTTTATACAAATCGAAGTCCAGATTATCAGCATCAATTACGCAATATAAAGGGTAAAAATCTATGGATTTGCTTACATATTTTTATTTGACGTATTAAAATAAGAATGTTTGTCAAGTCAGTAAAAATAATTTACAAGAATTATGGGTAAATTTTGGAAGAAAACCTAAAACCAGTAAGAACTTTGAGATTTTCAGTTAGCAATTCATAGAATTTTCGTAATGTGCACGAAAAGTTTGGATGGATTGAATGGTTGTTTATAGAAAGATTTCGGTTTTGGGGAATTTCGGTGTTTTGGCTTGATTTTCTTTAAATTTTTAATGAACTGTCCTATAGTTTACCTTAAACTGTTCCAAGTAAGGAGCCCAGTAGAAACTAAGAGTCAGATTTATTACCTGGGACGTGAAAAAGGTCTGAATGTGGACGGGTATGAGTAAGGAAAGCAATTAAGTTTTCAAGGCACTGAAAAAAATAACAACTGATCACACAACTTACTGCATAGAAAGTTTCGAGGGTTTAGGTAACCACAGAATTTACATGGAGTCAAATCGTCTCTAGGTTTGTAATCTCCCGATCTCACTACAAATGTCATGTAATACGATAAAGGAAACCTACGGGAAAGAAACTTTCGTATGCGCCGTATTTCTGCAGTCCTACGTTTCTTAGGCACAGCGAAGTAAATTGAGTCTTCCCATGACTTATGTGGTCCGAAAAAGGGTAAAGGGTATAATGCTGTCGTATCTGCAGCTAAAGCAAGAGGCTTAACTAAATGTATTATACAAAGACGAATAGATTTACCTCGACCAAAGAAATCCCAAATAATCGACTTCAAAGCATGGCAAATAGAAGCCATGACCTTGAGCATCAATTACGCGCCTTTGACGCGGAGTTTGGAATGCATGCAGATTTCAGTAACAAGGATAACAGATCCATCGACCCAGATAAAGTTTTCACACAACGGAGGTTTATTCTTATTTTAAATATTTTAAGACTAACGCGCACTATACAAAAAAGAGTAATTTTATAGTATTGATCGTTAAATCACCCATCAATACTACTTTTATTCGCTTTAATTAAAGTCTTTCAGTTACATCAATCCAAAGAAGTCCAGCTTTTGCTCCAGAGAAGTTTATCATATGTACTTTACGAGTACAGATATGTAAAAATGAAGGCACTGGTACTTAGTCTTGGTCGTTGAAAACATCTTTGAGCATTGTTTGTAACCATAGGTGTTAAGATATTTCTGAAACTCCTGAAGTCGGATTTTCTTCCCATATATTTGTTTTATTTATATAGAAACATGAAAAGTCCTATGGCGCAATTGAAACATAGTTGTGGTATACCAGCATGCTATTTTCCGGTCGATTTGGGGATAGCTGCAATAAGTGGTATCACAGTGTGTGCAACAGACTCACAACGGCTGCATATAAACAGCGCTGCAAGCCACTATCATGTTGGTTGTGCAAAGAATGTTGTTCTGACGAGTCTCTACTGATTCTAGAGGCTATCGAGCTGCTCAACGTAGCTGGGAAATTGCCATCTGATAAACAGGCAGCAGCAGATGATCAGGACTCTGCTTTCGATGAAATTGAGAGCGTTATTTCGAGCCCAGCTCTAGACTTAAGTGATACCATAAAGGTGGGCCTATCCAGGAAAACCGATAAGCATACGGATGTAGGTATGTTACAAAGAGAAAGATGAAGCGCGCCGAGAAGAAACTACCGATAGACAGTAATAATAATAATTTATTCTCAAATAACAGTTTGTTACATGATGCATGCCAGTTTATATTCAAGATCAAATTGTTACAAATGATACAATCTCCAACTGTAGTAAATTACTCAGCTGGGTTGATAATTTATAAGATATGAATGTAGAATGGTTTTAGTCAGTATCACAGTTGGCGCGCTTCATGAAATTTGCGTTGCTACGTGCAAGTGACGGTGAAGTTAGGGGCTTCTAGAAATCACAATCTTATATCCCTTTGGATCTGCGGGTTCAGTTCCGGATTTACATATCAATGTAATACAAATTATATGGGAGCCAAGTCTGAGCAGTGTACATGAAGTGATGAAGAGACTAAATAATGTAGAGGGGTGGCTCACAGTCACACCTAGGAAAAGAAAAGTAAGAAAACAGAACGCATCATCTGCGTTTCACGCTGACTTGCAATCGGAGTGAAAGGAAGAGACGGTTTCAGGAACTGAAATTCCACAGCGTGTCAAGACAGACCTCGCTGAGAGGTCTTCAGTTCGCTTAATCATACTATTATTACACACTGACTATATTTTACACCAGTACTATATTGAATGTCCATAATTGAGGTGGTATTCAATGACAGTTTACAGACCCTAAGTGTATGTAAGGGCAGTAACTCAATCAGTGAAGAGATAGACATGATAATCATTTTCAAAAGGAGTGCTAAAATTTACTCCAGTTTGTGGAAACAAGAAAGTTCTTCAAATAAGTAGCTCTGTAGGTCATTGACCTGGCCTTATTACCTGAAATGAGCACACCAAGAGCTGAAGGCTTTTGATAAAGCATATGCGCCTGACCACATTTATATACCATGTTTCGCTCTTCTCCTACGATAACTATTGAGCATAGGTACCGTACACTACAATGCTTCGGCATTTGATACAAATATATTTTCGTATACCACCACCTTCTGTTTCTTGTTTCATTGGCTTTCGGGTCATTTCTTGAAAAGTTGTTTGGACAGCATCACTGTGATATTTTTCGTATCTCAAGTTTCACCGGTACTAAGAGAAACTTATCAGGTCGTTTTAGACGATCATCAGTAATAAATAATGTACGATTCTTCAATGTGTCTGAGTAACAGAAATGTGAACTAAACTACTCCTCTGAGACAATCCATCTACACATAATGAGGAAGAAACAGTTCACTAGTCTTGGTCATTAAAGTTTAGTACATGGGAGTTGCTGGAATTGGTCTGGTTGCATCACAGGACTGAGGTCTATGAATGTTATCCAAGTTCCCTCAAACAGAAAAACTTCTAGGATGAGATATATTTTTACCAACCAAGCGTTATGGTTCTGGGAAGAATCCAATTTGGAGTGCTAACCACACTTTTTTAATATTCAGTTTTTCAACAACTCAGACACCAGTCGAACTTTGTACAGGAGTTACAAAATGGCTGACAATAGGGCTTTCGCATTGTCCTATCTTTTAGTTATTTATGTCCTGAATAGTCGTCAACAGTTCACCGAGTGTTCCATATTCTTTCATGCCACCTTTTATGGACAAGACTAGTATTTAAGGTGAGATACAATTTCCCTTGAATATCCCTACACTTCAGTACGACAAATAGAACAAATGATTGAAATACCAAAAGTGTCTTCTCTCAATCACGGCAACTCCATACATTTTATACGCCAATAAATAATCTATGTGGCTAAATAAAAAAAGTATGTCTAAAGGAAGTCTGCCATGTGGTAGAACATGAGGGAACACCCACAAAGTATGTGCACAGTTTCTGTAAACTGTAGGATTTCCTACCATGATTTGAAGTAATGAGCGTATCAGCAGCAAAATATCACTGAGCACTAGCCAAATCAGTCATCAAGTTGAATCTTTCTTACGTTGCGTGACAGATAAGTGAACGTTAGACAAGTTATAGAACATCATACAGGTTAAGGATGAATAACACCGTGTCATAGACTGGGGCATGAGCTAGTGATTGTGCAATGTATTTCTCCATTTGCTTCCTGTAATACATTTTGTTCTATGCTGTTGTCATAGTAGCCACATTACCTGCACTCACGAAAAGGCGATCCAAATTAAATATCACCTGCGAGTTGTGACTTCGAATTAGGATGTGTCACATTGTTCCTGTCCCAACCGAGTAGATCTCGATTATGTCACAGATATTCAGGGCATGACAACTCGTTTGTCCATACTATATAATTATCGAAGTATCCCGAACCCAGTCGAACCAGAGATCAAGAATCAAGAATTTTGAAGATACATTTGGTAGACAGGCGATGTGAGATCCTTTTTCGAAGTTGCATGTGATTGCGTGTGAAAATCTATTCATGTACACACTTTCGTAGTTTATTCTTCTTCATCACATCAGCTGCACACTTCGCCGAGTTTTTGGTTCTACATTATACGGTACTATTTATTTTAAATGTAGTTTTTGTTTTTACGTTTTAAATGAATTTTTAAGCTTCACTATAATTACGTCCACATTGTTTTGCTTGAAATATTTGGCTACGGAGGCTGTTGCAATGATTTGATCTCTCACTACCTAAACAAAGATCTGTGGCGATATTGAATTGCTTGAATCGTAAATAATTGGCCGATTTAAGGTTGTATGGTGAGTTAATGCAACGGATTAATAGAAAATAATGTTCGAAAATTTTCCGGTCTCTGCTTTTGGAAATTTCCAAGAGCAGATGTGTTTATGGCAACCATAGCTGGAGAACATAATCGTTTGTTATACGTCACCGTTGTGGTGACGAAAGTTTGCTACCTCGTCGACATTGGTGCAGAAGTTAGTGTTCTACATGAAAATTCAAACGACCGACTGCACGAAACATTTTTCAGCTTACAGGCGGAAAACACAAAAGCGATCGCCGCACATCCTAAGCAATATGTGTATCTAAACGTGAGCTTGCGCAAACCCAACCACTGTTTCTATACCAATCATAGGCATAGACTTGCTGCAATACAACAATGACCAAAATTCCACAGCGTGTCAAGACAGAACTCGCTGAGAGGTGTTTAGTCCGCTTAATCATATTATTTAAGTCTGCCTGAAGAGCGTATGCAACTGCGTCTACAGTTATTACTCGCCAGATTTTTATATCGTCAGCGTATTATAACATCGGCGACAATACCATACTTGGGAGATCACTTACTTACGGTAAAAAAAGAAAAGGACCTAGAACAGAACTTTGGGGCACTCCAATAAGTACTTGTCTCCAAGTGGAGCACTTGGAATTTACATTTACTTTCTGTCTACGGCCTACCAAGGAAATCCTCAAGCTATTGTGTAAGAGATCCGACAATACCAAAATTTTCTAACTTCAATACAAGTTTATTAATTGGGACCTTGCCTCTAAAATCAGCGAAGACTTAGTAGAACAATACTCTTTGCACAACAAACGTGATAATGGCTTGCAGCACCGTTTACATGCAGCTGGCGTGAGTCCGGTGCACACATTGTGATACCACGTGTTGCGCCGACAGGCTCCCGAAAAACTGAGGTTGGCTAAAAACGAGTTCCATAACATGACAGCCATAGGAACCAATCGGTAACCCTACTCATGCTCAAAGAGTTAAATAATTTATATATTTCACTGCAGTCATCATCGTTTAGTCATATTGGAATCGGGAATAAGAACAAAAGGTTTCAAGAAACAAACATTTGGCAACTTCTCTGCAACAAATACCAAAGTTTGGAGGTTTAGGTACAAATTTTACAACGGGAAACAAAGCATTAAGATAACGAATGGCACTCGGATAAGTTAGAAATAACATTAACCAAGGTTCAAACAGAGTACCTGATGGATAGTCTAAAAATCAAATATATATAACTATAAATATCAACAGTACGAAAATAAGTAGTTCACACCCATGTATCTAAAAATACATCAAAACGTAGAACGTAGTCTAAAAGACATTCAGAAATGTAACTAATTAAAATGACACTTCTTCCATTAGAGGAAACCATTACCACTAGTAAGAAGCTAAAGAGGCGACAGATATTCGGATTTCGACAACACCTTTTCCTGAAACATTTTACAATCGAAAGTTCCTAACCCAATCGAAATCAAGTGAAGTGGTTCGAAGATATATTTGGAAATCTATTGATGAGAAGATATCACAAGTAATCACAATTTCACGACGCCTTCACCAGTA